CGACCACCGCTGGGCACGTGTACAGCGGGAGACTGGCAGGTGGCCCCTTACACCATACCTGTCTGGGAATGGTTGTTGGAGTCCCAAGGACCGATGAGGGCGTGACAAGCGCGTCACTGCAAGCTGGAGAATTTGCAAACACGGGTTGCACACAAGAGTGACCCCTGTGCTAGTGCCAGGAACTCGGAAGAAGTGAGGAGTAGCGGGAGACCAGTTGTGGCTAAGGCAGGCATGCGACTTTTTCAGTTGCACCCCCAGCTCAGGGCCTAGTCTGCCCTGGGACCAGCTCTGGGAGGGGGCGGGACCTCTAGGGACTGAAATCCTCTTGCTTCTCCCTTCGGGCCCAGGACTGCCCACTGCTCAGAGTTCTCCAGGACTAAATGTTTGGAGGATCCCTGAAAGAATGGTGAGGCCTGGGCTGGTGTCTCAGGCAGGGCTGCGCACTGGTTCATGCAAAGGCTTGGGAGCTGGGACAAATGTCGGGGTGCGGGTGGATCAGAGGGGAGCCAAAGGGACAGTGTCAAGAGCGGGCTGAGGCTGAAGCATGGCTCCCCAGGGGACTGTTGGGACCCGTTCCCCTTGCCAGTGCCCCCACCCCTACCACCCCGGCGAGGCCGAGCTGGTCCCTGCTCCCACATCTCCTTCTCCAGCTAGTCACCTCCGGCCCAGCCTGGCTCCTTGTGGGGCCTCTATATTTAGGGTGTTGGCAGTTCCCAGAAGGGGGTGGGTCAGGGCAAACTCCAAAATAGCCCCAGGCCCATCCCCAGGGCCACTGGGCATGGGAGGCAGCGTGTCACTGGTCACCACACTGATTCCAGCACCCAGCAAGAGGGACAGTGGGACGAAGCATCCCGCTGGGGGGAGGAGGCATCCCAGGGCTGGGGGGTCGACGGCACACTAGACGCGCTCATAGGGGTTGACCGCAAAATGGTCCCAGGGTCTGTGGTGGCAGCTGGGGGGTGGGGTGGGGCCAGGACCTGCCAGGGCCAGGGCAGTGCCATCACTAGGGTGAATGTGATCTTTCCCCCAGTGCAGAAGCTCGTCATCAGCACCACCACCCCACCTGCCGTCAGGATGCTGACAGAAAAAAAGGCTGGCACTCGCCACTGGGTGGAGAGGAGGGTCTCTCGCTTGGCCAATGGGAGAGGGGAGGAGCCTCAGGATGTTTGCTCCACCCCCTGAGGGGGGGCGTGGCTGAACAGGACAGGCCTTCACCCTAGAGAAGTGGAGACAGGTGGCCGCTGGGCCCACCAGGGTGGTTTGCTGGCTGGGTCTGCCCATGGGGGTTGGCCGTGGGTTACCGTACTGGGTGACATCAGCCCTGGTGATGCCACCCGAGTCGGCAGGCTCTGGGGCTGTTGGGGGCGCGGCCTGGAGCCGTGTTTGAGGCCTTTGAGGAATCAAATCTGTGGGTAGAAATGGTAGGGAAGCCGGTGGAAGCTTGGTGTGAGGCCAGCTTCCTCCTCAGAACTGACAGGCAAGATGGGCCCCCGTGGGTGTTTGGGGCACCCTAGTTTATTGGGCTTAATCATCTGGTTAATCTTCTGTTCTATGTCCTCATGTGTTGCGTGTGCCTGGGGTCTGAAAAGCTTGCATGTGGGCATTCAAGGCACCAGAATCGGCCTCTGTTTATCTGGGGCAACAAAGGAAGAAGGGGAGTCAGGGACAGGAGGGGTACACGGGATGTATGCTTAACTGCTTCTAAGAACAATAGCCTCCTTTGCCACAGCACCAGAACTGGATGGGACCTGACCACCATGACTGAATATTTTGATCACGTATTCTTTAGAAGACTCCTGATCAAGAGGGGGGAAAGGCAGAACAGAAACTTCAAATCCTCTTAGACTCTAGGCTTCCCAGAACCATGAAGGTTGAACAAACCCCCCGAAACTATGGCACTAAATCATCTTTCAGCCTTAAGCCAGAAATATTTCAAAAACCAAACAGCAGTCTCATTTCTCACTCACTGCTATCAAGTTGCTTCCGGGTCGTAGGACCATCCAGGGCAGAGCAGAACTGCCCCTGTGAGTTTCTCAGACTGAAACACTTCAGCGGGTAGAAAGCTCCCTCTTTCTTGTGGAGCCGCCAGCGGTTTCAGACTGTGGATCTCAGCCCAATACGTAACCACACGCACGAGCTCTTTTAAGAACCAGTTAAATGGGATCCAGTTGAGAGCAGCAGCCTAAGAGATCAGCCAGGAACCTTAGAGGCCCGCGCGTTGATGTCAAGGGGAAGGAACCACTCCGAAAAGGAGGGCAGGAATCCGTGCACAGCTCAAAGAAGCTAATTAATGTCACTGCACATGTAGCCGCCGTTGAGTGGGCGTGTGTTTTGCTGTGTATATGCTCAACAATGACAGCAACCACAAAGGGGGGCCATCCAAGGAAGGGGTGAGCTCCCTGTCCCCAGCAGTGTCCAGGCCGGGGCTGGAGGAGACACTGCCCTGCAGACAGCACTCAATGAAGGCCACCTGTGGTCTCCAAGCCCCTGCAGCCCCAGGAGCCAAATGCTTTGCATAGGATTTGCCAGGCCTGGTGTCCACTGAGCTTCACAGCAAGCTGGTGACCTCGGTCCAGCCAAACGGTGTGGCTCTGCACCCAGGCTTCTCGAAGGACCTGCTTGCTGTGTGATCTTGGCCTAACACCTTTAACATCCTGCATCCGGGTATCCCCAACTGTAAGTCGAGTCGTGGCTCCATTCTCCGGCTAATAAAAAGATTAAATGGGGGAGATCCTGGACTTCTCCTTCCTCCTCCTTTGGGCCAGGTGTTCTTCAGGGAGGCGGAATGTCAAGATGGATGAGTCACCGGCCCTGCCCTGGCATCAGGCAGGTGGGCCGGGAACAACTACTACCTAGAGGCAGCCTCTGGCCCCAGAGGACCCAACGGGCCGCCACAAAGCAGGGGCCACAAGTCCTTCTGAGGGCTCAGGCAAAGCTCCTAAGGGGAGATGTTCCCGACGGTGCTTGAAGGAGGAAGAGGAGTTTTCTGGAGAACTCAATAGGACAGTGATGGGGGCAGGCCTTAAGTAGATGCAAAGGCAGGTCTATGGAGGGCAGTAGGTGGGGCTGAGGGGGTTATTATCTATGGCCAGGGTTAAGGGTGGGTCCAGGTCTGAGCTGTGGAGTACACCAGGCTTGTTGGGAAAATTAGGGTCCTGGTGATGAGGGGAGGTGGCAAGGGCAGGTAGCAGGGGCAGATAAGGAAAGAGATAGATGCTAGAGGCAGGACCAACAAGATGTGGGCCCCATCCTGGGAGGAGGCACTCAGCCCGGGGTCCTTCAGCTGTAAAGAAACAAGCCTGGGTTGGGGGGGCAGGTCTCTTGGTTGCCAGGTAGGCATAGCCCACCAGCTCACCTCCCTGGGCTGGTGAGAGCCGGAAGCAAACGTGAGAGCCAGCTGCTGCTGGAATGGGGAGGGAGGCGACAGACGGAGGAGGGGCTGCTCCTCCCAGCTGCCATCAGCCAGGGAGGCCAAGATGACCTAGTTACTGGTGCCAGCCAGGGGGCTGCTTCTAGACCGCGCTTGGGGGCTGAGAGCCTTCTCTGAGCTCATCCACCTTCCCTCTCTAGAGACCCCACTCCTAGCTCCTGCCCCACCTCCTCCCGGCACAGAAACCCACCTTGCAACCACTCAGCCCTTCCCTCCCTCGTTGTCATGGCAACTGCTGAGCCTGACCTTGGCAAGGGGGAGGGGGGCCTTGAACTAGAACTGCAGGGAGCTCACCGAGGCAGGCAGAGAAGCAGCAAGAGAGTGAGAGGGATGCCCCAGCACACACACACACACACACACACACACACCAGCACAGCAGACTTTGGACCCTGTGTGGCCTCTTCCCCTCCAGCTGTGGCTGTGTGCACTTCTCCCATCTCGGAGAGCTTTCAGCCCTCCCTTTGCGGAAGGGAAAGCGGAGGCCTCGGGCACAGAGACCGGCCCAAGGCAGATGCAAGGCAACTGGTGGCAGACCCACAGTGGGAGCCTGGGTGAGGGAGCAGCTGAGGCTGGGAACGTTCTACAAGAGTGGGACGAGAGGACCCTGAAACCTCCCCTCATCTGGCAGAGGGTCTGGGAAAGCCCCAGATACTGGGCTGAGCCTTGGTTTCTCATCTGCAAAATGGGATGCTGAGAATAGCACTGGTGGGTGGGCACCAAAATTGGAGGGGTAGTTTGGTCACACTGAGGGCATAAAGAATGGCACTAGCCAGCGCCCCACACCACCACCGTTTTGCATGAGTCCTGGCCTCCTGACCTGTACTGCCTCCGCACCACACCTGCCCTGCCCTTCCCAAATGACCACACGAAGCCCGGTGCCAGACCCAGGGGAACTCGCGAGTGGCAGGTGTGTGGCAGGTGGTCAGTCTGGGGCACTGGGGTCTCTGAGCTACTAAGGAAGACCCCTAATTTCTAGGGGGTACCGCACCTCTCTCCAGCCACACCCCTAGCAGCCCTCAGGGTGTCTCCCCAGCATGTCTTCATGGCTCCCAGCTCCAAACCTATCAGAGCCCCGCTCACTCTCCATCTCGTAAGGATCCCCAGCCCCCTCCTCAGTCCTCAGCCTTCTGTGACATCCTTTCCCCCTGTGGTCACCTCCAGTTTGGTGCTCACCAGAAACCTCACTGTCCCCATTTTCCCTAAGAAGTTCCCACCGTGGCCATTCGCCGCTGCGCAACTTGCGGGGCGGCCTGTGAGAAACCTCCCCGGCCCCCAGAAAGGTCAGGCGTGAGTGGCGGCACCCCTTCCCGAAAAGTTGGGGTCCCCATCCCTGGCGGCGCTCACATGTCCTTGGCGGGCAGGTTCTTCCCCTCCACGATGCGGATGGACAGCGAGCTGCGCTTGGCCATCGCGGGGCCGCGTCGCAAGGTCCAGGCCAGG